AAGACATTCCAGTTGTATAAAAAAGGTGTTATAAAGGGTAAGTTTCCTATCACTTATGGACCACTCTATTTGGCTAGAGTGAGCCGATACGCTAGTTTTCTTCAGGAAATTGCGGGGTCGTCTTGAACCATGGAGTTGTCGCAGTAGGGTATGATCTTGATGCGCATGATCCGTGAGTTGAATTCCCCTCCGCGTGATTCACAACATGGATTTTCAAAGTCAGGATTTAGTACGTTTCCTTCAGTTATTATCTCGTCAAAAACTCCTGGGGCACTGACTGGGGTGAACACGGATATGTCAAGATAGGAATCGATCATTCACAATTCGGTGGGTCAAGCGCATTGTGGATTCTGGTTTGACTGATGAAGTTAAATCTCAGGAATTTGTGGAATCTTGAAAGATGTGACGTTTCCGGTGAGTGCGAGTTACCAGTGAAGCCAAGGTGTCTACAGCGTTTAGGTTTATTTAGTTGGTTTTTGAATGCGAGTAAACCATATTTTTCGAACTCAAGTCTCAAAAGTGATGTAACATCACTGATGTTTCGATATGATGACTAACACTGCTTCATTTGCTATTTTCATCATGTCCTCACCACTTACACAAACTTTTATAGATTTCATTACATGGCAAGTTGCAGTAGTGTTGGACAAGTGTTGAGGAATGGATCTGTTCTAACGTTCCCAGAGAGAGTCCGAGAGACCAAAATAGCGGGGGTCACAGGCACTTGATAAACGTACAGTACGCGCCATCTAAACCGGCAATCCTTGTTAGATCGTTTTTCCTTCCGATACATTGAGTTTTGAGCTAATTTCTTCGCCAAACATCTTAGATATACCTCTCATGCTGAAATCCAAGTCGCGCACTTTAAGCTCGAAAAAAATTGAGCCCTTTTTTCGATTTCCTGCGCGCATCTCCTGCGGCGCCTCTGTGGACAGCAAGAATCAGAGCAAGACGTACTTTTCAACTACGTCCCTTCGGCAATCATAGAAAGAAACCCTACTGACTATACAACACTGCTGTGACTTAATTAAATCGAAGGCGATCATACTTGCCACTTGTATTTGCTCTAGCCGGCCCACCAACTACAGGCGCTGACCCCCGATGCTTTCGACAATCTCTTGCATGGTAAGGACCTTACTAGAGTAACGTAAGTACTTCCTGGGTAATCGGAAGTGCTTA